TCTGTGTTCACTCGGATACAATTATGCAATTTTATGCTTTAGTGCACAGGTTCACGGCAACACCTGATAACATAACTCACAATAGACGCGATTATTTTTACATTTACTCGCACTAGTGTCGTCTGTGGATTTAGGACCATAGAAGGAGCTGATGATATTGTTATCTGGACTTGATAAAATATCGCAATACATTAACTGAAAGCACTTGCTATATGTACAATGTCTTAACAGTGTTTATATGATTGCAGCGTTCTGTTTCTTTTTGGTTTTCCCAAAGTTGAATAGATTTTCGTCTCCTGAGGGAGAAAACACTTGGTGACTGTTATTATCTATCTATCTCACTTGCTGGCTGTACTAGTTTTTACTCTGAGCTGTGTGTAAATAGAAACTGCCATTGTAATTGTGCTACGGTGACAATGTTCTGGTGCTCGTCAGTGCCGCTGTTGTTGTTTTCTTTGGTGTAAAAGACCTTTTCTAAGGTGCCTGTGTTCCTATGAGCTCCTGGTTATTGGTCACGGAAAAATAAAGACGATTTTTTTCGGCAGCTGTTTACTACACGATGTCTGCTGGTGTTTATTTATTCGTCTAAATATAACATGCCGTAAATGCTTATTTCAGAATCTGGGCTTGATTATAATAGGTTGCAGACTGAATTGTTAGAGCTAATTAGCAGCCTTGGGTCATACTGTGCTTAGTAACAGAAAGAAATGCACAAAAAGCCTTCAAGTTTTTGAGTAGGCCTATTTGCAGTCCCCATGGTAGACTTTTTTTTTCCTCAAGGTCAAAGACTAATTAAAATAGCCTTTGGGATATTATGAAATGTAACCATGGACTAAAACAGTATTTCGTTTTGACATTTGTTAATGTACCTTGATAAAATGAACCATGGTTTTTACTACAAAAGACAAGACTTTTCTCAGCTTACAGTTTTTGGTTTCTAGAACATTCTTGTTGGTTAGCAAATAAAACAAACAGACCCAAAAGGAAACCAGTTTGCTGGATTGTGGTTTAACCATGGTTGCCACATATAAACAATAGTTTTACTCTGATAAAACTGTAGTAACCATATTATCTGGAGATTTGTATAGACCATTTCGATGTGGTCATGTCATTGACCCATTAACATTTCCTGCTTGTTATCAAACTATTTCATAACTGTAACAACAGGCAATTCTATCATGACTTCATGTTAAACAGCCATCATAATATTATTTACCAAAATGTGAACCTTTTTGGATTCTCTCTACAGTGCTACAGAAATAAAAAGTGTAAAACAGGAAATGCATTGACCATTGTTATTGCTTACATCCCTCAAAATGGTCTATAACAAATATGAGTAAAACTACTGTTAATAGGTGAAAGATAAATTAAATAAACGCATGACCATCTGTTGTGTAATACTGTTTTATATACTTGTTAATGTAGTTTAGTACTTACATTTGGTGGCAGTGTTTATTTAGGCCTTTAAATTAACTTGGGTATTTAAAAAAATACTGACTTAAAAAGGTTTAGGTTTAATAATACATTTCCAAATAGCTCTCGTCACATATGACAACTATCAATAACATTTTAACTACCAAAGTATTAAACAGCCATTTGGTGAATGTTTACAAAATAAAACAAATGTGATTTCTACAGCCACAAATGTTTATTCAAAGATAACATTACAACTGGGCTGTGGCGCAGTGGGTAACGATGTCGCCTCACAGCAAGAACGTCACTGGTTTGAGCCTTGGCTGGGTCAGTTAGCATTTCGGTGCGAGTTTGCATGTTCTCCACGTGTTTGTGTGGGTTTCCTCCGGGTGGTCAGGTTTACCCCACAAGTCCAAAAACAGGCGGTATAGATGAATTCCTGAATTGGGTAAGCTAAAATTGTCCATAGTGTATGTGTGTGAATGAGTGTGTATGGGTGTTTCCCAGTGATGAGTTGCAGCTGGAAGGGCATCCGCTGCATAAAAAAACATGCTGGATAAGTTGGCGGTTCATTCCGATGTGGTGACCCCGGATTAATAAAGGGACTAAGCCGAAAATAAAATGAATGAATGAACATTACAACTAAATTTCTGATTTACTCACCCTCAAGTGATTCCAAGCCTTAAGATCATTTCTGTCTGGAAAAAGATTATTTTAAGAATGTAAAAAAAAAAAAACCTGTAACCATTGACTTACATAGCAGGGAAAACAAATACTATGGAAGTCAATGGTTACATGTTTCCAAGACAACTTATTGTGTTCAACTGAAAAAAAATACACAAACAGGTTTGGGATAAGGCTGAGTAAATAATATCTATAATTATAACTATACCTTTAAGGGAGTTTTCACCACTAATATTTATGTAAAATAGTACATACAATTCAGCATAATTACAAAATAATCAAATATCAGCCAGATAAATATCTTGCTACAAACCTTTAAACCTTTGTTTTCGACGTCAAACCCTTGACATACCAAACTCAACTTGAGAGAAAAGTAAACATTAGGGTGCCATCTAGTGTTCTGTAGCAGAAATACACCTTAATACATCTCTAAAGAATGGCAGCTAGACAAATACAGTAATGTGATGTGCTTTATTAGGCGTTGGACACACAACGGAACAAAAGGTCAGTAAAGCATTTCTAGTTTTTCAGGATGCTAATAATGAATGAACATAACAGCAGATTCAACCACTGCAACTGAAAACCAACTCAAAAGCCCAGAAGAGGCATTTAATCAAAAGATGATGCGAGAAAACATACAACACTTGAGCTACAATGACAAAATATCAAGCAGGCAGAAAAAAACATGTTTTGTTTTTGGTCCCACTGGAGATGCACACCCTCCATCTAATAAGCCACAACATAAAACACACAGAAAACATTGTTTTAAACACATTCAATATTCATATTAGTTTTACTTATTTTATATACCCCTAACTATTCTTTATAAATGTCTCTAATCATATTTCTTGCAACAGCTTTGCAGCAGGCATAAAACATGTTTATCAAAGTCAAAATAAACGCTGAGCATGAAATATTAATACATGAGCACTTGCAGAAGCCCCTGCGCCCTTTTATTATCAGTTTAGCAACCATTACTGTATTATAAATGTTTATCTACAGTTAATAAACTCTGCTAGTATCAATAAAAATATAATTTCATTTAACATACAGCATCGACTATGCATTTAAAGTATTCAAAGACAGCACAACAGCAGAAGTGGATCCATGTGCTACACAGACAATACTAGAATTAGAATTAAACAGTAGTTGCGCTGGATCTAAAGCTAATGATTTGACATGTACACTTGCTTTTTGGCAGCATATAGTTGAAAATGTTTAGTAGACTATATTGTGAATCCCCGTTATAATATATCCTGTAATACAAACTACAGACGTGGCTAAATCTCTTCAAAAAGCATCTGAAATGCTCTTAAAGTGAGATTAAACCTTCCCAGCTTTAGCAACACAAGGCACTGGGATCTCAGTAGTGTGGCTGGCCTAATACCACTACAAAAATATGAGTAATATAGTCACAAAGCATGTTGTATGCTCATTTTATGACACAAAACTTTCAAGAATAGTATAGAAAATAATATAATAGTGTAACATCACTGCAGTTTGATCTGGTTTTTGTATTAAAGCAATTGATGCTAACAATACATGTATTATACACTGTATAAATATCTGTGAATTAACAGTTTTCCATATTTTTGGATTCAGGTTTTTTTTTTTTTCACTGTTAAAAAAAAAAACTTGCATACACAGATTGACGTGGTTATGCATTCACAATGGTATGAACTGTTATAGAGTGGTCAAATATATATATATATATATATATATATATATATATATATATATATATATATATATATATATATATATATATATATATGTAATTATTATTTTCATTATTAACATTAATATGTAAAATATATATCACAGTAAACTATTTCTCCATATTTAATGATATATTTAATGAATATAGCTTTGATATCTGATACAGCAGCATAAGATCACACCGGGTGCCGCTTCTCAAAACTCACCAAAATTGGACAATAGAAGATTGTAATTATTACTAATTTATGCTTTGTAATTGCATTGTGGGAGCTTGATATTTCCTTCAGCAACTTTTGATGTTGCAAAGCTTAAAAAATTGACTTTTATTGACAGTTTTATTAGTTTAATATGATATATTGTCTGTTGGTTTGTCGTATACTAGTACTACGATACAAAAATATGGTAGAAACTGCCAGTACTTTTTCTGTCATTAGACTTAAATCTCTACATTTTATTTGTTGTACAATTTGTTTCAAACCACTTAAACAATAACACAGTTCCATTTTCATCATTAAAAGTCAATAGAGTATCCATAATGCAATTCATAACCATAACCATTTACAATGTTTCGCAATACTGTAGTTCTTTTATACATTAATGCAATTGACTAATCCTCTTAAGGGTATGTAATAATCTTTTATTTAAAGGAAACATTAATTTTGTTGCTAGACACACAAATTTATTGACGAACCATCGCAGTATGATAAATAAATATAACTTTTTTTATATGAAAGTGAAAGCTCCTCAAAATTCATTTAATTTAAAAACTTTAGTAATAGTTATAGTGAAAAAAAGTCATATTTTTGTAGCTTCAATGATAAATTAGAAAATGTTAGAAATGTTTTGGGCAATTATTATATATTATAACAATAATATATAAAAATATATTTCATTCATTTAAATTCTCAAATTATGTTCTTTAAATATATATTATTCAAATCAATCAAATAAATAAATAAATTCGTGAATAGCATTTTTCCTCATTCAAATTTTCCCGTTTTTAAACATATTACATTTTTTTTATTAAATAAACAGAGAAAAAAAAAACTGAATCATGAAATACGGAACCTGTTAATTAACAGATATTTTTATAGCGTACTTATATTTTAAACTACATACTTTTTTGGCATTTGTATTAAAAATATGAAAATACCTACAGTATATACACACTTACAAAACAAAAATCTGGTTAATTTAATTAGCATTTTTAATTAGTTGGATGTCATACAGAAAATGTACACAGATAGCTCTAATTGAGTTATATATATATATATTATATGATGAATTCTGAATACATTCTTAAAAAAATTAACAAACAGACATTTAAAGTCTTTTTATTTTGGCTAATTCAATGGCACTGAAGTTATGGATGAAAACGGAACTAGTAACATGCTCTTACAGTAATGACATTTTGACGTGTCTGTTCCAGTGTAGGACTACCCCGTCCCATCTGGAGATCACTGAGACTCCAGTTATACAGAAGCAAACTCACTGTGACTATGCTGAAGTACCAAAAGAAAAGTGGAAAAAGAGAAGAGTTTGAGGGCTGATTCTCAGTGCGGTTGCTGATCTGGTGAAAACGTGTCGTCTGGTTGTTTAATCATGGGCTCTCCATCAGGTGTGGAGTCTGAAACCTCTTCAATATCGCTTGTCGATGGTTTGGGGCTCATCTTAGTCTGTAAACCAGCAATGAGGCTTGGGGTTTTTAACATGTTTAGATCACACACACAGTGTTGATATTATGCTTGTGGGTTTACCTTTAAGGTTTCCACTTTCTCCTCAAATGACTTGAAGGAGGGTGTGTTCCTGAAAAAAATGATGATGTAAAATTCACTAAACACTTCATGTGTCACACTCACAGGTTGTCAGAATAATGTTTTGCTAAGCTTGATAATGTTTAGTGGCAAAAATCAAATTTTCAACCTAGATGGCAAACGTCAAATGAAAAAAGTATTACACATTGAAAATTTTGTTGATAGAAACACTTATTTATTGAAAAAACTTTGCAGAATGATAAATAAAAATGTTCCATATGTTAAGGATTTTAAAAGTTAACTTAATTTCATTTTAACTTAATTAACTTGTTAAGAGTAATATTTTAGTTTTTTGTTAGTGTATTAGAAATAATTGTTTATTTTTTAGCAATTATTAATTATAACAGTGAAACAATTAATTTAATTGCTTTTAAATTCTATTCATCCGAATTTTTCATTTCACTTGTCATTAATTATCAGATTATGTTCTTTAAAAATTATAGTATTCAATCACATTGAAAAAGATTATTTGTTGGATTTACACATTTTTTTAAGGTGAGTGGTTGCAAACAATTTATATGGGTTGAATCCAAACAAACAGTTTCAGTGCAATCAAATAAATACATATATTTTCCTCATTTAAATTTTGAAGCTTTCAAAAAATGTCTTTTCATGATTTAAATACAAGCGGTAAATGCAGTAATAAGATGACATGATTAAAAACACAGCATCATTAAAAACGGGATTTTGTTTTCTTCTTCACAAACACTAAGGTTGTTAATAGGATAATAGGATTTTAGTTAAAAAATACAACATGGCAAATAGAATAACGTTTCATCAGTTGATCTTAATGTCTTTACTACCACAAACAAACCATAAACAATGCACTACACTATTTATTAATCCCTGTTAATCCCCACACGGAATCTGCACACGCTGAATTCCGCAGATTTTTAGCCCATCATTGATTCTATTTATTTACATGTGTAAATGTATGTGAATTTATATTAATTCAGTTTTTAAATTAATTTCAGTAATATTATTGGCTAGTATGAAAATATTTATGATTTATTTACAATATAGTTTGTAAGTAATATTTTCTGTCTTTTAGTAGATATATTATATGAGAGACTTGCTTTGTGTACCAAATAAAGAGGATCTAATTGGATTTGCATTGTAAACATTAAATAAAAGTTTAAAAGGTATTACTTTTTACTTCATATATTAAGGTTTTAGTTATGATACTCCCAAATTCAATTCCACATAAATCCGCAGATTTCTAACAAAATTATGCACAGAAATAGCAAAAAAAAAATAACCGCAGACTACGTCTGGCCCTAGTTATTATTCATTATTAGTTCTTGTTAACTCACAGCACATAAACTAATGCTAACAAGCATGACTTTAATTTTAATAGCGCATTAACTATGATTACTGAATGCTGTACGGGTATTTTTCATTCTTATTTCATATTTGCAAACACATGAACTAACACTTGGGGCACGGTGGCTCAGCGGTTAGCACTGTCACCTCACAGCAAGAGTTAGCGTGGGTTTCCTCCGGGGGCTAAGGTTTTCCCCACAGTCTGAAGACATGTGGTAAAGGAGGATTGTATGAGCTAAAATTGGCCAAAGTGAATGAGAGAGTGTATGGGTCTTTCCCAGTACTGGGCTGTAAGGGCGACTGCTGTGTAAAACATATGCTTGAATAGTTGGCGGTTCATACCTCTGTTGTGACCCCTGATAAATAAGGGACTAAGCTGAAGGAAAATGAATGAATGAATAAACTAACAAAGAAACCTTACTGTAAAGTGTGACCAATGAGATCCACATGGGCTCAAACATGGGTTTGGAACACCAAAATCGTTTATATAAAGTAAGTGCATTATCAGACTACTGTCTACGTTTGTCATACATTTATTCAAAAAACATAAACAGAATTAGAACTGAGAAACAAAACTAACATCGTAAATCCAACACAAACACTGTAAAAAAAAAAAAAAAAGCTTGGTTCCATACACTTCCTTCATGTCCCAACACAAATCAATAAAGTTAACTTAATCATTTTCACAAATTTAAGTAGATCGAAAATAAAACAATTAAGTTGTCTAATAAAAAAAACTGTGTTGGTTCAACTTAAAATAAATAAGTAGTTTAAACAAGCAGCAAAGGTAATATTTTGAGTAAAACTATTACAAATAATGAAAGCCATTATACACCATCTGACCAATCAGAATGCAGCTTTTTTTTGTGCATCGGTATCTTACCTCATGACCGGCATGCTAGCCGAGTGCTGTATAGAGCGTATACTATCCGTCAGCATTAAAGAAGAGCAGAAAGGTGTTAGCCGAAGCCGTGAGTAACAGACAAATTTACAAGAGGAGAAATAAAGCCATGCACCTATACACATAAAACACCTCAGCCCTTCATGCTGTGTGAAATGGAGGAAAGAGTCTGAGGCTTTACTAACTCGAGGGGTTTAAGAGTTTATTACCAGTATCACTGAAACGGATTCACACCACAGCTGGGGACGCCCAGTTTGGATGAGCATTAGGGTGTGAGAGAATTAGCAAGGAATGAACAGGGTTTAAACATGTCTGCATAGGCGTTCAGCAGAGTGACAGCCAGAACACTGAAAGATTTGTGCGGGATATGAGCAACACACACACTGGAGAGAATGTTGAAAAACATTGAGAGAAGCTGAAGCAAAAAAATCAAATTAACTTTGCATGAGAGTGATAGGAAATTGTCAGATTTTGGGGCTGACTTGAAGGGATAGTTACCTTAAAGCACATTTACTCCCTATTAAATCACCCTCAAGTGGTCATGAATGGTAATGACGGTTATAAAAGCAAAAACATACACTACGGAAGTCAACGGGCACAGGTTTTCAGCTTTCTGAAGAAAGTGAAGGGGGAATAAATGATGACAGAGTTTTTGTTTTTGGGTAAACGAATCCTTTTATAATTGATTCAGTTTCATAATGCTGAGTTCAGACAGCACAATATATCAACCCGATTTAAAATTTCCATGTTTTACCTTTGAGATTAGTTACCTAAATTTAAAATTGTCCACATGGATTACATAAATGTTGAGGTTTTCGTTTGCCAAAAATATCATGTTTGATTTGTCAGGGTTATTCCACCAAACACTGATTTCTTAATAGCTTCAAAATATGGCACAGTTACATTATTACAACATTATTATTATTATAAAACATACTATTGTTTTACATTTGGACATTTTACTTTAACAATGTCATCAGTTGCATACAGATGAAAACTAAATAAACTTTATTACCTAATTACATTACAATTACATACCTATAAATCATAAAAAGAAAAATTAGCAAAGCACTACATCTCAATAAATAAATATATATATATATATATATATATATATATATATTTTTTTTTTTTTTTTTTTTTTTTACTCAAATGCCCAATTACAGACTTAAAGTCCTTCAAATATGTTTTAATGATTGAATGTTATGCTTGATTAATTTCTGCATCTGAAAAGTTGAATACTCCAGGTCAACTGTGGATGTAAACAAGCAAATTCATAAACACTATTGATTGCTTCAGTTAATTTGCCTAAAAAAAACTGCAAAAAAATTGTGTTTAGATAAACTAAAGTTTTTTATACAGATTCCTAAAATATTTGTGCTTTCTCTTATGGCAGGTGGTCTAATAAATTTATTAAATGGACATTTCACCTCAAACTAAAATTCTGTCATCATTTACTCACCTTTCCCTTGTCGCAAACCTGTTTGTGTTAAATATAAAATAAGTAAATTTAAAACATGTTAGAAACTTACATAGTATTAGTTTTTCCTACTATGCAAGTCAATGGTTACAGGTTTCTAAGGCTACGTTCACACTGCAAGGCTTAGTGCTCAAATCAGATTTTTTGTATAGCTGTTCACATTTTTGTTATAAACGTGGCCATTATCCGGTTCGCACTGTGAACTAAACTGAACCGCATGCGTATAAGTACAGTTACAGACAGCACAAAATGTCTAATTATTCACACAATGTGTATACTGTGTAAAGAAAACACGGTCAGATTATACTTAAAATGATTATTGCCCTTTACACAGACAATTGTGGTGTGTTTCATGAACTGTAAAGAGTTTTTCTGCTACTACTAATGTATACTTCACATTTGAAACCTAAAATAAGTCACTTGTGATTGAAAACACTGATCATTTGTGATTTACGACTACCACGGTGTGCATCTTTCTGACCACTGGTGTAGTGAACTTATCAAGGGTTAAGGATCAGCTGCAGACTGAACAGGGAATGTTGGATTATCTCCGTTTGCAGAGTTATTTCATTTAAGACGATTCATAGACGATGTTTGCAGCACAGAATGATGACGCATGTCGCTCAAAGATTATGTAAAAGTCAGATGAAATCCAACACAACTTTTCACACTGCGGTCAGATTGCAAAACATCAGATCTGTGTCTGATTTAATACTAAATATGAAAGTGGCACGAATCTGAACTAAAAAGATCAGATTCCATGCGGTTTGGGCTGTTCATAATGTCATTACCTGAGTCACATGTGGACAAAAAAAATCTGAATCAGGCCACGTTTGGCTGCAGTGTGAACATGGCCTAAGATTTTTTCAAATTATCTTTTGTATTCAACAACAAAAAAAGAAACTCATAAAAGTAAGGAACCACTTAAGGGCAAGTAAATGAGGCGTACATTTTCACTATTGGGTGAACTATCATTTCAAGCACTGCATATTCTATCAAATATGGGCTTATAAAAAAGAAAAGAAAAATTCAAATATTTTCTTTTGTGTTCAGCAGAAGAAAAACACATTCAAATGATCATTTTAAATTTTGGGTGAACTATTCTTGTAACAAGAACCCTAAAAAGTTGCAAGAATCCATTCAATTGCGCATTATAGAGAGAGTTCACTATAACAAAAAAAAGTTTAAATTTACTCACTATTTACTCACCCTCAAGTGGTTTTATTTATTCAGTTAAACACAGAAGATAATTTGATGAAAGCTGAAAACCAGTGACCCCTGGCATCCACAGTGGGGAAAAAGATGGAAGTCAATGATTACCCGTTTCCAGATTTTTTCATTTGTGTGCAACAAAAGAAAGAAACTCAAACAGGCTCGCAACAAGTGAAAGGTGACTAAAAGATGAATTTTAGGTGAACTCTCCCTTTAAAGCAAAGGCTCAAGAAGAAAAGGTCTGCATGCACACTATGGGGCTGAAATGGGAGACTAGACTACCTCTAAGTGCATGCCTTGCTATAAAACCATTCATCACACTACTGACAAGTGTAGCAGCCAAAATAACCAGCTTTTGTTTGAAGCCACTGTAAACAGTCTTACCCAAAAGAATTGGAAAATGACTGTAATCTGTAAATGGCAGAGGTGTCATTAGCAAAAACAGTTAACAACATTGCCAGCGTTGCAGCAAGAGTGTCGTAAGATGGTGAAATTGAGCGCATGTCAGTTGCTTTGACTTGTGTGTGTGTGTGTGTGTGTGTGTGTGTGCGTGTCTATGTTTAATGGTTTTGCTCTACCTCAATTCTGACAATTCTACTGTGGGGGTGTAAAATTGAGTCCTTTGCCATTTTGCCCAGTAGTGATATGGTGAAGGCACATGTCTAAGTGGTGATCACAATGGCTACATTCACACAGTCTGTTTTAGGAGTAGTTGAATGCATTTACTAAGGCATGTGACTCCAATTATCTTACAGGAAACAGAGTGCACTGAATACTGTTTACATAATCAAATAAACTATAAAAAAATGCATAAATTAAAAAAAAAAAACAAAGAAAGTTCTATAGATCTTTTAAACGTTCATTCCTGTAAAATATAAAATTTTCATAAAAAGATTGTGAAAGTTTTTTATATGAATCAATCTCTCATATATCAAGGATGCTTGAGCCTCAATATACCATATTCACCAGGTGCATTTATACTCAGATAATCCAGAATTTGGACATGACAGGATTCAACTCCGAAATTCGTCTATGGTGTACCATGGTGCCATAGTGTTTCCCTCTTCTGATTATTAGTGGTAAAATGTCAACCCATAAGCTTAGTTACAATTTGGCTTTTGTCATTTCTCCTGCATTCAACACGAATCTATAATAATGGTCAGTCGTTCTATGTTCAAGTCACCCAGTAAAACTCAACCCTGTCTCCAGAAAATGAGTCACAGCCATTATATGCTGCTGTGTGAATGAAACCAATGTGGTTGGAACAGAAATTATTAGTAGGTATAAGTGACTATTAATTTGTCTAAAGGGTACAATGAACAGCTAAACCAGGAGTGTCCAAACTTGGCCCTGGAGGGCCACTGTTGTGCAGAGTTTAGCCTCAGGACCAAGATTGGACACCAAGACGATAGGACTTCAATTGCAATCTCACCTCACATCCTCCAGCTTTCTGGTGATGGCTGTTCCTACGCTGGAAAATGCTGTTGTCGCCTTTTGACCTACTTGGGACAAGGTCTCTGAGGTCTTCTTATACCTGTCCAGTACAGATGTTTAGAAGAAATGTTACCAACAGTACATAACCCTAATACACGAGATAACATAATTTTGACAGCTGGAGCTCTCTAGTAAGATCAAGCATGTTTACAACTGTTCTTTAATGTAATTCAGCCAAATGGCATGTGTAAATGCACAGCAGAAGCAATGACAGATGGAGCCGCTCCTCAGCAGCAGTATGAGAGGCAACGGGCGGCATGCAGATGCCCGAGGCGAGTGAGGGCACGTACGCAGTGGAGGTGGTGACATCATGCCAGCCCTTGCTCAGGTTCTGTTTGAGCTCGTTGAGTGGAGTGATGCCCAGCTTCCGCTTGATCTCCGCCACCTGCTTCTCCTTGGCCGCAAGCACCTGGGAAAGAGTCTGGATTTCTTCTTCCACCTGTAGGGAAGCAGGAAACAACAATTCACCTGATGTGGAAAATCAATTTTCCTGCCATTCCTTCACTCATTCTGGGTTCATCCACAAGATATTGATTCAGCTACAAGATACAGCGTACTTTGACATACTGTAACATGAGTTCAGACAGTCATTTATTCATTTTCCTTCAGCTTAGTCTCTTGTTTATTAGGAGTCGCAACAGCGGAAGGAACCGCCAATTATTAACGCAGCAGATGCCTTTCCAGATGCAACCCAGTTCTAGAAAACACCCATACACACACACACTCACAAAAACACAAATTTTTCTATGGCCAATTTCATTACTTCATTGTCCTTTGGCTTAGTCCCTTATTAATCAGGGGTCACCACAGAGAAATGAAGCGCAAACTATTCCAACATATGTTTTATACACAGCGGATGCCCTTCCAGCTGCAACCCAGTACTAGGAAACACCCATACACTCACATTCACACAAACACTCATAAACTACAGCCAATATATTTAATCTAATTCACCTATAGCGCATGTCCTTGGACTGTGGGGGAAAGTGGAGCACACGGCGCAACATGCAAACTGGCCCAGTCGGGACTCAAACCAGCGACCTTATTGCTGTGAGGTGACATTGCTAACCACAAAGCCACCGAGCTGCCTTTACAAAATTTAAATCATTTTTGAGGCTGGAATCTGAAATATTACAGCACTGAAAGATGTTGACCTTTTGAAGTTCGCTGTGGAGCTCTGCTTGCTCCTGCTCAGTTAGGACAGTGCAGGGTGAACATGGTGCTGCATCCACTGCTTCTTCACCTACTTCTTGGATGAAGTCTGGCCTTTGGGTCCCTGCAAAACAAATACATAAACTATGACATATTTTTAAGAGCAAAATGACAAAATGAACATTTTACCTGCAAAAAAAAAACAAGTTTGAACCTTATAATATAGGGCTAAAGCAAGGTGAGAGGACTTTATGGACTTTGTCATTCTGAAAATAAATTTGTAACTATGAGCAAAAACAAAAGTCACAACGAGATATGATATCAACTGTAAGGTAAATATGTTGCTATAAACTAGACATAGGCCGGTATAAGATTCTGATGGTATGATAACCTTGGATTAAAATATCATGGTTTCATGGTACTGTGATTACTGCTCTAAAATAAGTTCTTTTTTAATATACCCCCTTCATTTTCATTGAACACAATATATTTTATTTTAAGAAACATTTTAAATATTTTGAAACAGTATCTTTTGATGTAGAGGTTAAATTTCTGATGGATATAATGTTGCTGTAAAAAAGAAAATAAAACAATTGTTGGAAAGCATGTTTTAAAAATACCTTAGGAGCGGTATAACAGAAAAAAAAATTGACGGTTTTAAAACCTTGACTTTTCCAAACCGCGATAAACCTTGAAACCGGTTATCATCCTATGCATACTGTAAACCACACTGTGAGACATAAATGCTCAAGTATTAGGAAAAAAGTCACAAAAGTCATACTTTGCGATAAAACTTGACCATTACAGGAAACAGTCACGGTGTCAAATATTTAAAATTATGAGAAAAATTTAATTAGTGAGTTATTTGAATTAAATGTCAAATTAAATGCCAATTATGAGAGAACAAACTTATGTCAAGACACTTCGAATTATGTGAAAACAACAAGAAACCCACAGTGTAAAAAATATGTTGAAAATAATTTAAAAAAACCTTTTTAAAAGAATTGACATTTGACACTTGGAGTTGGGGGGGGGGAGATAATGGAAATAACCACTCCATTTATACATAAATAAAGCTAATAACACACTATGAGAAGCAGAATTTACTTTTAATTATTTATTTTTATTTATTTAAATATTTACAGTATTTATTAATCTTAGATGAAATTATTTAGTAAAAACTGAGTTGAAATTACTATCTTTTTACATTTGTTCAATAGTTTGTCTATTATAATGATCTTGCTTATGTCAGAAATTTTAAAAAACAAATTTCATTTATCCTTGGTTATATAGATATTTCATTGGGTTAGGACTCGTTGGAATCCATATAGAAAATCAACTGTCATTCTAAACGTTTGTACTGTCATAAGAAAACTGTGGTTCTGATTCAGAGATTGCCAGAGTCAGACATCAGGCCAGGGGGTGAAGGAAGAACATAAAGGAAGATGAGAAGGGCAGAGAGAAGTCATGTGTCAAAGAGCTTTAAAACTTTATAAGGTGCTTGTCACATGATGGACGCCACTCAAGGGCTTCCCACAAGTCTGGAAGATGTACTTTGATGTCTTCACTGAAATGCCATGCAGTGAAAATATATAAATAATAAAGCTCCCGGATGACACCACTCAGTGCGATAACTAAGAGGAAAGGCCAAAAATTCTGAACTGTCCGTCAAACTGGCAAAAGTATGACAATCATGTACAGCTCTGTACAGTATACTCCACTGCAAAATACAGTACTCTTCTTTTAAAGGTCCCGTGAAGTACTTTGAAATGTGCATTTTTATTCAATGTTTGACAATCTCATCTGAAATAGAGGAAAATACAGAGGGTCGTACAGAGTAGGATTAAAGGAAAAATCATAATCAAAATTATTTTGGTCATAATTGCAATCACGATTATTCAAAATGATTATCAGTTGAAGTCAAAATTATTCACCCTTCTGTGAATTTTTTTATATATAAATATTTCTCAAATGATTTTTAACAGACAAATTTTTCACAGTATTTCCTATAATATTTTTTCTTCTGGAGAAAGGCTAATTTGTTTTATTTCAGCAAGAATAAAAGCAGGTTTAAATATTTTGAAACCTATTTGAATAGCTCAATATTATAAGCCCTTTTAAGCAATAAATATTTTGATTGTCTGCAGAAGAACATTGTATAACTACTGTTATACAATGACTTGCCTAATTACACTAATTAAGCCTATGAATGTCACTTTAAGCTGAATACTAGTATCTTGAAAAAGATCTAGTAATATATAATGTATTGTCATCATAGCAAAGATTTTTTTTAAAAATCAGTTATTAGAAATAAGTTATTAAACTGTCATGTTTAAACTGTGCTTTAAGCATTTTCCCCGTAAGAAAAAAAAACTTCAGCTACATAAGTCCTTCAGTCAAGAGCAGTGAGGGATTTTCTCCTTTTGTTTTATGATTAATGATAAAAACAGGTGGCAGCAGGGATTTTGTGGGCTGTCACTTTAAGAATAGTGTGGCTATGATATGGTTTCTCTTTCACATGTCTTTTGATTCTGATCGTGTTTGCTTATTACACAAATGAGGGTAAATATAGTCACTAAACATTGCGCTCTGACACAAATGTGCATGTATTTGACCATTAAAGTGCTTACATTAGGATGGCGTTAGATGTGTGTGCTCTGCCCGTCTCCAAACCTGTCCGAGGCTAAGTGCGGCGTGCACACACAAACACACATGTGCTCTTTCACGCTTTTAAAAATATGAATGATTCTAATGCAGAGCCTACATCAACGAATGATGCGCATCCTCTGCTGCAGACGTTACATTACAGTACATGCTTTTAGTCATTTTCACGTGAAACTGACCTTTGCAGAGCAAAAAATGTGGCAAAAACTGGAAAGAGGGCAGTATATGTTGGATCAATCGTTTGTCTCGATTAATAATTGTTCATAATCGTTAGCAGCCAAAATCGAAATTGGACTTTCGATTATTTGCACAACCCTAGGACAGAGTAGCCCCTCCCTTTTTTTAAAAAGTAGCCAATAGCATTTTGTTTTTAATCACAGCTGTCAGTGAGAGTGGCTGAACTTAAACGCATCAAAGGAAAAGCAAATGAGGGCAGGGTCTTAAATGGGGTGGGCAAGTCAGACACTAGAGAGAATTAGCTTGTTCAAGCTTAGATGAGAAACTGTATAAGATGTATAAGTATAAGGTGATGTGAAAAAACCATTGATCCATTTAGACAGACGTGAGAAACTGCAAGCTTTACATGTCTTTATTGGTTTTATATCTCCTAAAGGCGAATTATGTCAGTTTTGGACCACACCAACATATAGATGTCCTTAAAACAGACTGAAACTAACATCTACATTTTTTTCATTTTCACTTTTATGTGACTTTTAATGGGGTTAAATCTGGGTTTTAAGTATTAAAAAAACTGATAAACAATTCACTTTAAGTACTAATCCCATGGCTTTGACATGCTCAGCCTTATTTGTCTTGGCAAAAAAAAATGGACCTTGAAGGACTTAATAATATGCCTAGCTTTAATAAAGGTCTGTTCTGAGGCAGCTGGGAGCTTTAAAAGGTGTTTTGGATAAGAAGCTCATTGCATTTAAGGTTGCATCACATGAGAAGGGTGTGCAAGTCATTTGTAAGCAGTTTGTTTGGTATTTCTGGAAAAACTGGTAGGTTTGCCTCCCACTTTAACTCAACACTACAGCAATTAGGTACAAAAGTCAGGATCTTTTCTAGCTTATCTGACTAATTCTGTAGTGTTTGGGCTGTTTTAAAGTCTTTGGCAAGACTTCTGCAACTTTAGGTTCACAGTGAGTAGAACTCAAAAAAAAAAAAAAAACTAGTAAGCTTAAGCAATCTCTACTTTTTCCACATTTATGGTCACATCATGTCCTATTTTTGTTTCTTTTAATGCATCCCAAATTGCATACTGTACTTGCGCACCATTTTATACTATTTTGTAGTATAAATAGTACAATTAGTGCATTAACACTGACATATTTTTTTATTCTTCTTCATATCTACTTTAAATACCCCGGATGATGAACTCATTTAACCGTTAAAAAGAATGTTGGACATTTCACACACTCATCGTCACAGCTTTGCTCACATAATGGAAGGGGCGGAGCAATGATTTCAGATTTTTTTTTTTATTTTGGATTGTGCAAGCTAAATTCCCTTACAAGAGTGATTATGCCACCTCCCGGTGTTAAATGCATAGATAAAAAAACATTAGTGTTCCATTTGGGACGACACTAAATTCATATGCTATGCTGTTGAGTGTGTAAGTGCATAAAGTACATAGTGCATAATGTACAGTGTGCCATTTAGGATGCAGTGTACGATCTGTTTTGCATTCAAACTAAGTGGACAGATGAATTTCTTTAGCAGTATGGATTGTTCACAATTCCAAAACGATGTTATTTGAATGAATTACTTCTTATTTTGACTAATCTGTCAATGAATTCAGTACAGATACAATTTGTCTCAATGAAAGGGTCAATTTTCCTAAATTAGACTTAATTTGACTATATTATGAATAAATTACTTTGACAATTTCAAATTTGATACAGCATATTCTGGCTAAACATCAAACACATTGATCATTAAACTGTATCTGATGATTGCAGTACTAGGCTATGAGTTACACACTGTAGTGAACTGTCTGTCATTCAGAATAGGAAATAAATATTGACGGTGTCATCCAGTGCAACGGTCGATTTGAAACAGTTGAGTGGTTTTCAGGAAGCACATGACATCACTTGCAGAAATTATTATTAAAACTGAAATGGGGCTTAAAACATTCCAAGAAATGATGTACTGTAGAGAAATCAAATCACTGGTGTGGACATAAAAAGAAGGAATTCAACTCTCAACAATACCTAGCATTTCAGATTTGTTAAGACGTGCCTGATTTCATCATCAGTTTAACAGTCACATTTCCCATTTACAAATTAGTCGTTCATCGGTCCTCTGCTCCTCTCACGGTTTTCCAGATTCACACTAACAAGATTACGAACGGCTGCCATCTCACGAATCACCATATAAAGGAGAATTTCCAACGCTGATGTGCCATGACGGTTCACAGACTATAGATCAATGAGCTCTCTCTGTCTGTATAATGAGATTGAGGGCCCTGTGTAAACACACTTGTAATTTGTTAACCAAGCTCACTGCTTTTCCATTTTGTGATTAACATCTTAACTGCATTATAGCAACAGTGTTTGCCATAGAATAATTTAAAGATACAGATTTATTCTGTATGGTTTGACATCCATGTACATGACAGTCCAACTCCAATGAATGGGTTAAAGCGTTCAGCACTGTGGTTCTGCTTGTGGCCATGTTTTGGGGAATGCAATAATTATTATTTTAATAAAAGGGTTTTTGTAATATGAGGACATCCAGGAGTGTATATTTAATAGTGTGTGTTATTTATACGTTTAGATTACTTTTGCCATTATCTAACACTCGCATATAAACTTATAGGTCAAGAAAATATGAACATTTGCTGTTAGGGGAATCACACCGAACGTGCATTTGCTTCACACAAACGCGAGGCACACCGTACTGCTTTTTGTTGACAAGTAAAAAAAAAGTGTGGTACGCTTTTTTAAGTCGTAAGGCAACGACTGAATCAGTTGGGTTTTGTTTGAGAGTGCTGATGTTGATACATAATTGTATGGGTGTTGATAATATAATTTTAATAAGTAATAATATTTTGATATTCATGGTTTGTGAAGTCATACAGCTCTGAATAACACGAGTTTAGATATCCAAGTAAAATAAACCTAATTCATACATTTAATCCAGAGTTTTCTTTTCAAAAAATGTCCTGCCATTATCAGCTCGCAATGAATCTTGGGACGTTCGAGGTCGCAAAGGATCCACCGGTTTTGTCCTTCATTGGGAAACGCATTTTGAGGCTGCATTTGAAGGAGCCTTCTAATTCTTTTAAAGTGAGACAGTGTTCGTCGCGCCGCAATGACGCAGCGCCCTTTGAATGCATCCCATCCTTCAGAAATGAGAGACAGCTTCTGTTGTTTCAGCTCCAATATTATGTGATGTTCTATTGCAAAAACATCTTGATTGGCTTAAGTGTGCGTATATTAACAGTTTAAGTAAAATGTTTTTATGTGATGTATTTTATGTGATCCATAACCAATCTCAAAATGAATTTCTGTTTTTCATTATAATGCATTATAATTCTAAATTCCAGAGAATGATTTAGAAACAAATCATTTTAGTTTTTAAGAGTTTAGATTATTCTGAATATACATAATATCAGAATATATACAGCTGAATTATGAATGATTACCCCTCCTAAAGTATTAGCACTCTGTATTTTCCCCCAAGTTCTGTTTAAAGAAAAATGTTTTAATACATTTCTAAACATAATAGTTTTAATAACTAATTTCTAATAACCAATTTCTTTTATCTTTGCCATGATGTCAGTAAATATTTAACTATATATTTTTTCAAGAGATTAAAGCGCAATTTAAAGGTTTAACTAGGTTAATTAGGCAAGTTTATTTTTTATTTTATTTTATTTGTTTATTTGGCAGGGACAGTGTACATTAATTAGCATTTCTGCAAATGCACCAGAATTAGCCAGAGGGCTATTTTTCATCTGTTGTCCCTGAACAACCTAAAAAAAAACAATACAAAATTTATACAACTAATCAAACATAGTTAAAAAGTACTACATGATTATGAAGATGTTAATAAAAAATGAATATATACAAATTTAACTAAAACACCAACATTTGTAATAGAGATAAAAATAGTTGAAACGCATTTAAACAACGGATCATTAACATTTTTTAAAAACCATTTTAAGGTCAGTATCATCAGCCCTCTTAAGCTATTTTTTTTTCCGATTGAGGTAATTAGGCAAATCATCGTAAAACGACATTTTGTAGACAATCGAAAAAAATATCGCTTAAGAGGGCTGATGATACTGACCTTAAAAATGGTCTTTAAAAAATTAAAAACCACTTTTATTTAAGCTGAAATAAAACAAATAAGACTCTTTCTAGAAGAAAGAATATTATAGGAAATACTGTGAAAAATCCCTTGCTCTGTTAAACATCATTTAGGAAATATAATAAAATAATTGTAATATTGTAAAATCAAATTTGGGTCTCATCTGGTCTGGAGAATTAAAGTGCTCTCTGCTAGCTTTACCTGCAATAATAAAGTGTTCTGTTCTAGCTTTACCTGCGTTACAAATGAAGAGTTTTTGTATAATTTTGTTAACAAAGTCCCCCATTATTTCAGTTTAAACGGTTCAGTTTTTACATAGGGAAAAACTTAATCTATATTTTACTTGACAGGACTGATGATGGTTTTGCATTTGAAGGGGATGTCAATGGCACATGAACATGGAAAATCAAACAGACAAACACACACACAAAATAAATCTGTTAAATCAAATATCCATAAATAACTCAAATATTTAAAAAATGTGATTAGGTACAAATCAAAAAACAAATAGCTAACGTTCATTAAATGCTGGTGTTTCTGAGTCAATGTCCACTCTCCACCTGAGCAGCATCTGCTCCTGATGGCCACTTTTGTTCCAAACATCAGCACTTGACAGAAAGATGGCTCTCCAATACATTCAATACCATTCTCTGCCTCTGTTACACTGTGACAAACACCAGTCCACACCTAAACACACAAACACACACCTACTCTGCACCTGAACAAACACGGTTACCTCTGAGCGGCGGTACCGGTGAGCCAGGGGGAGTGAAACTCTCTTTGGGTGAAAGGTAGAGGTAGCTGGTATTCACTCCCTGCTCAAAGTTGAACGGAGACTTGTAGTCCTCGACAGGCTCATCCATGCTGCCCGCGAACAGGAAGCTCCCAGGACATTAAATGATTGCATGTGACTGCGTGCGTATGGATCACTGAGCTGATTGTCCTATGCTCTAGCCAGTGTTGAGGATTTGAGCGAGTGTTGCAGATCCTCACATGATGTCCGGCCTGAGACAACGACGGTAATATCTTAATAAGTTACCTCTCTGGAGTGTTCTATTTCTGTCACGAGCCAACACTCCTCCTTAACAGCCCTTACAGGGATTGTTGATGATCCTGTAAAAAAGTCTGATTTTCGCTATTCCTAATGACTAAAAAAAGCAATCATCTTCAGCTGTTCCTGTGTCAGAACTAGCTCATGCTCAGCCCCCTCCATCCATCTTAATATCCATGGGGAATGAAGATCCATTTGGTCACGTGACACTGGGGCAAGCCCACAAAAGGAAGCTGTAATCTGTGGTGTCCCAGATTACAGCGCTAATCCATTACAAAAGGGCTCGCAGTGCTTCAGATACACACCAGCTGCACAAACCATCACACACACACAGGCTAAAATGGATTCAGGGAAGCGCAAGATATTCTGAAGTAGAGATACCTAAAGGCTGACATACAAGACGTTGCTAACATCATTGTAATATAATCCCATGCTCAACTGTATTACTGTGGAATGAGTGAAATACAAAATAAGTTTACGCATCAGAAATATATTTTTTCCAGATAAAAAAATGATGACTGTCATGTATACACAGATCACACTAAAATATCATTCAGCGTAACGATAGTTTATATAGCTAAACAAGTCAGTGTTTCCTCTAGGATTTTTTCCAGCTGTAGTGGCAGGCCTTTTACACAGATCTTCCAGCAACCTATGATGCTATTTCAATGACAAATGTCGTGAGTGCACAAAACTACTTGCACGCCCTCAAATATACGCTGCTCAGGCACAGATTTTCTTGTGCGCTCTGAAATAAACGCTTCTGAAGCGCGATTTAGTGTGTTTACTTGTACGTCTAAAAATATGTTCAATTTGCTAGGAATATTTATAAAGGTCTCCAATAGACCTACAGAACGGCAAAATTGTACAGTAGCAACGTCCATAAACTCCAGCAACATAAAGTTTATCTTTCGCTTTATAAATAAACTATAATTATGGAAATTGTGTTCATTATAACTGAGCTGCGTCGCGTTTGCTGGCCTCATGCATCGCACAACCCAGTCAGCATGTAACCTTAAAGGGTTAAACACGTAACGCATAGCACTACGACTACAGAAAAGTTTGCTCTGTTATAATAATAATATAATCACTTGCCTTTTAATACATTTTAGTGAGATTATAACCTGCTATTAAAAAATATTAAAAACAGCAACAACTGAAGGTTTTGAATGTGAAGCTGTATTGTGGCTGTGGCGGGATGAATATGGTGCCCCGCCATGGAAGAATGATTATAGCAGAAACCATGCAAGTATAATTGTAAGAACAAGACAGAAAAAATGATGAATGCTAAATGATGATGGTTTGTCACACAGGTTGACATCTTGCTAAAAAGGAGGAGATTAAGCTATGATTCCGGTCAATATAATCAATATAATTTACTAAGAGTGCTGCTTTAGCTACAGGGGCCTCCTTTACTTAACTAGTGGTGCCTGGCAACTTCTATCTTTGAGCATTTAAACAAATAAACAAATAATTAAATAAATAAAAATCAGAAGCACATATTTAAATGTGGTTTCGTAACAAATTACCACACCATGCAATGGTGAAATAATCAAATATTTAGATGTAATAAACTCACTTTACAGTGGTGCCTTTGATGATGTCAGAGACTGTCAAATAGGGCTGTAGGATTTGGAAAAAATCTGACATTGCATCAGCATAAAATATAAGAAATTACAAGCATATTTATAAAAAAATATAAAAAATGCTTTTTTGAGGACTATAACAGAAATTGAACAATCAAAATAACATTGTTCTCATCATTGTAAAAATATATTTTTTTATATTTATCTTTAATAAATGATCCAATCCTGCAATGTGACTATTGCCAATATTTTTATACAATTTTAAAAGACAATATTGATTTAAAAATGTAATAATGGTGGAACCAGATGCACATTTCACGTGTTTTATCAGAAAGTAAACGATGTTTAATAAATTATTTGCAAAACCTAATGGCAAAGGCATGTTATTTTTTGGGTTGATGCTTTGTTTTCCTTTTTTTGTGTTTTGTCAGAGAAGTGAAAAGAATGGCCATCTGAGCAGCATCCAGACAAAATGTGCATCCCAATAAGTCAGAAAAAACACAAACACACTTTCAAGTTTTCAATTCCATTGTGAATAGGCAAATAGTGCCTTATTTCTAATCCCTATATGCACACAAGAGAAATAGCTTCGCAAACAAGAACAAAAGTGTAGAACGGCACTTTGGGAACTGTTTGGATTGTGGGATTATTATAATTTGCTAATGTCCGTGATCCCAAATAAGTAACAGGTTTCTGAAGATCAGATTTATTTCTTTTTTCTTTTAATGTTTAGGACTGTTAATGTGAATAGGTAACTTTAAAAGATAAGTTTGGTCTTATAAACCAAGATCTATTTTTCTCATATTTTATGTACAGTTGCGGGACTATGAAAGAAATACAGGTTGATAATTGAAATCAGCTTGTTCAGAATTTCATTCAGACACAAGAAAACTATGACTATATTTCTTAATCATATAGAGCATGAAGTAATTCTAGAGGACTCTCAACATACTAAAAAATAAAATGGGAAAAAGAAGTAGGCATTATTTTGAATCAAGGCCAATGGGTTAAAATCTGTGCTGTCCCACATACCTCAACAAGATCAAGAATGTGGCATGAGTTTTGTTGGAAAAACTTAATTAGATTATACCAAGAATTAAATCATTACAATCGGGGACTCCTCATCCTTGTTGGAGGAACTGTGGGGTAGAAGAGGGACATATAATAGCAGTGCTAAAAATTAATCGTTTTTGGGAAACGGTGCACTCCGCCATCAATTATATTTTTGATGTTCATATTCCTAGATCATTCGAAGTACTTTTTCCATAATCCTTTTCAACTTGAAAAAGAGGATATTTAAGATATTTTTGGCAATACGTAAAAAAATTAAAACCCAGAAATGGTACAAAGAAGACTTTTATTTATAACTATTATATATAATTAATTTCTTGATGAGGTTAATTTGATAGCTTTATATATGTACTGTATATAGATATACATATGTGGAATGGATGTATTTGTGTATATATGTATGTATGTGTATGTAAGTATGTATGTATGTATGTATGTAAGTATGTATGTATGTATGTATGTATGTGTTATTATTTTTTGATTGTTGGTTTGTTTGATTTGTTCCCACAGGTTATCTTTATAAATTTTTTAGAAAAAACTAAGTTAAAAAAATATGAAAGGATCAACCACTCATAACAAAATCAATGCAACATTTAATAAAAAATATTAATTGTAAATTTGAACTTCAAGGCTACCAATCTAAACTGTACATAGGCACAAATACTGCCAAAAGTAAATATTTATTGGTAGCAGCCAGAATTTCGCTATCAGCACATGAAAGAGTGTAGGCACTTCTTCCATCGTTCTGTTTGTTTAGGAAGCTTCATATAGCGCCACAAGCTCAAGTAATAATGAGGTAATATCAAATCTAATAACATTTTACTAGTGAATTTTAAATTAGATGTGCTATAACACAACTGACAAAATGTCCAAAAAAAAAAAAAAAAAAAAAAAAGCAGGCTCAAAAATTGCCTCATGAATGTAATAGCTAATAAAAATCATAGGAATTTCCTTTGGTGCCACTGGTGAGGCAGAAAAACCCGACATGCTCCTTTTCCCAGTGCAGTTTTCATTTCCCCAGGTTTTAAAATACACACACATGCAATCTATAACACACCCTGTATAAAGCTTTGTCCTTGAGGAGCTGGAATTACACATTACTCCCAGGCTGGTTGTCTGACGTGGGATGGGTCTGCTTTCTCCAGCAGAGATCAGCCAGAACAGTCAGAAAAACAAAGAATCAGGTTATAACTGGAGTCACAGAGACTCTATTCAGCTGAATTCACATGGGCGTATAAGAGCCAAGCAGTGACAAACACACATGTGCGCTTGTGTATATGTGTGTGAGCGCCAATTATCACCCAAACCACATTCGCTTCACACATCAAGGACGACAGAACCTTGATGTCTCTGAGCAGGTAGGTACCCGGATATTTGTCTTTCACTAAAGTCCTTGTTGGCTTCCATCCAGACCAAATTGCACAATAAAAGCATGCAGATGTTCAAATAGAGACTTGAACGAAATCTGCAACCAGCGACAAAAGGAATTTAATTAACAGTCCTTTGGATCCCAGATTGTTTTCACACAAAACTAACACCATGAATTTTCATTAACACTTCACCATCTTTTGGCAAGTTCAGACAAATCCCTTTCATGCACATTAGAAGGGTCTAATCAGAGTTTTTTTTTTTTTTTTTTTTAAATCAAGGCACAAATTCACTTTCCAAAAACTTAAACATTTTTCAAGAAGTAGCTGAAACAACCATCATAAATTAAAGGGACTGTTCACACAAAAATGAAAATTTGTTTTTTTATTAACTCTCCTGAAACTGATTCTGGGGCAGCACGGCGGCTCAGTGGCTAGCACTGTCACTGCAAGAAGGTCACTAGTTCGAATCCCAGTAGGTATTTCTGTGTCAAATTGGATGCTCTCCCTGTGTTCGATTTCCAGGTGTTCCAGTTTCCCCCACAGCCCAAACACATGCAATATAGGTGAACTGAATTAAGCTTGAATAAGCAATTCAGTATAGGTGAATTGAATAATTAAATTGTCCGCAGTGTATGAGCGTGTGTAAATGAGTGTGTATGGACATTCCGCTGTGGTGACCTCTAAAATAATAATATAATAAATAATAGAATATATTAATATATGAATAATATAATAATATATAACATTTTATAAATATGTCAAACTAAATATGGGAAGACTGACTTCATTTTTTTCCTATAGGCAATGAGTTTTTTTCATTAAGAAGCTGACATTCCAGATATAAAGGTATTTTGTCTGTATCACGGTGTTCACAGGGTCTTAGGGTGCTTTCACACTTGGTCCTAATGCCTTGTCCGAACCCAAGTTCGATTGTCCCCCCTCGGCTGGTTTGTGTTCACACATTCTTTTTTTCCTTCTGAAACGCGGTACGCTTGCATCATTAAGCTGATGTTTTGTGTATTCACCTTATTCTCCGCCGACGAGTGGGCGCTGCCATTTGAATCTTTTTGTCTCGCGACTTCCGGTCACATTCATTTCCATTCATTTTTTGACGTTAACAACTGCTGGTTACGCTGCTTGATGTTGCAATTTTATTTT